TGAAGCCAATTAAAACAGTAGCTGAGATGTGCTGCAGAAACAGTCTGTATTACACATATTTTTTGAGGTAACCTAAAAGATCAATCTGATGTCACAGTGACCTATTTCAGGATGTGACACACCACTTTCCAATATTGTACCTATATTCAAAGTTTGATGTTTTAGTACTTGAGGTCAAAGTCAAACGTCAAATTGAGGTCACCATCACCTCATTTTAAGACACAATACATTGCTTTCTTATGATGTACCTATATACAAAAGTCCATTCATGACACGGCGGCTGAGAAATGCTCTGAAAATCATTAATATAGTACTTTAGGTCAAGGTCAAATTAAGGTAACAGTGACCTAGAATTTGGATGTCACCCAAAGCCTTTCCATGCTGTACTCATATACAAAGTTTGATACCAATTTATGAAACTACACCTGAGAAATGCCATTATTGAAGTACTTGAGGTCAAGTTCAAAGGTCAAATTAAGGTACAGTGACCTCCTAGGATGCAACACACTGCCTTCCCATTTCATAATATAACTATATTAAGTTTGATGTCATTCACAAAACAGCAGCTGATCTATATGATATGGAAAGGTCAAAGGCCAAATTGAAGTCACAGTGACCTCATTTTAGAATGTGACACATACTATGATGTATGCTAACATTGATGTCCTTTCTTGAAACAGTAGTCGAGATGAACTCTGGAAACCACATTTACATGACCCACAGCCATTACATCTTAGGTCATTTCCAACCCTTTAAAGCTGTCCATTGTAAGCGGTTACCACCTAAGTGCTTTGTACCACTGAAGAAGGTAATTGGAGTTAACAATACCACTTAAGGTAGCAATTGCAAGGACCTGTATATCTCACCGAAATGTACATGGTACATATAGGATCTTACATGAGTTTCCATTTCATATGAGATTTATGAAACAAGTCTAAGAATTATTTAATTTAGCAAGCCTCTGGCGAGCTAAAATGAAAAATTCGTATGAAATGAAAATGAGTGCAAGATCCTTTTTATCACATAATCAAGATTCGTAGCATTTATTTGAGTAAAACGACAATTTTCATGCAACTTTTTTTATTAAAAAAAGAGAGAGATTTAAGGATTGGGTGTCATAACAACCTTGAGTTTACAAGTACTTCGAGCAATTATTCTCTACTTTGAGGGGTCAGCAATATCAATAAAACCTAGTTGACAGATTTATAAACAAGTTATTATCCCACCATTACCATGCAGTTCTATAGAAAGATATTAATATACACAGCTTAAAGTACACTTAGGCAAGGCCTGCTGACCACATACACAGCAGATAAGCTGGTTTTATATAGCCTTGGCGAGAATGTTTAATGCAGGTAGGTTATATATATAATTACAAAATGAAATGGACATCCATCCACACAGCTATGGCATTTTAATCACAAAGTCATTTATTACAAATTTTAATAAAACCTGCCACAATGTGCAATATAATCAGATCAGGTATATCCATGAATAATGAGAAACACAGCAAACAAACCCATCACTTTTACACCCCTTGTATATACTATACCTAGTGAGGTGTGGACCAAACCATCACTTTTACACCCCTTGTATATCCTATACCTAGTGAGGTGTGGACCAACCCATCACTTTTACACCCCTTGTATATCCTATACCTAGTAATGAGAAACACAGCAAACAAACCCATCACTTTTACACCCCTTGTATATACTATATCTAGTGAGGTGTAGACAAAACCATCACTTTTACACCCCTTGTATATCCTATACCTAGTAATGAGAAACACAGCAAACAAACCCATCACTTTTACACCCCTTGTACATACTATACCTAGTGAGGTGTGGACCAAACCATCACTTTTACCCCCCTTGTACATCCTATCCCTAGTGAGGAACAGACCAAACCATCACTTTTACACCCCTTGTATATATACTATACCTAGTGAGAAACAGACCAAACCATCACTTTTACACCCCTTGTATATCCTATACCTAGTGAGGAACAGACCAAACCATCACTTTTATACCCCTTGTATATACTATACCTAGTGAGGTGCGGACCAAACCATCACTTTTACACCCCTTGTATATTCTATACCTAGTGAGGTGTGGACCAAACCATCACTCTTACACCCCTTGTATATACTATACCTAGTGAGGAACAGACCAAACCACGACTTTTACACCCCTTGTATATACTTATACCTAGTGAGGTGTGGACCAAACCATCACTCTTACACCCCTTGTATATACTATACCTAGTGAGGAACAGACCAAACCACGACTTTTACACCCCTTGTATATACTTATACCTAGTGAGGTGTGGACCAAACCATCACTTTTACGCCCCTTGTATATCATATCCCTAGTGAGGTGTGGACCAAACCATCACTTTTACGCCCCTTGTATATCATATCCCTAGTGAGGTGTGGACCAAACCATCACTTTTACGCCCCTTGTATATCATATCCCTAGTGAGGTGTGGACCAAACCATCACTTTTACGCCCCTTGTATATCATATCCCTAGTGAGGTGTGGACCAAACCATCACTTTTATACCCCTTGTACATACTATACCTAGTGAGGTGTGGACCAAACCATCCCTTTTATACCCCTTGTATATACTATACCTAGTGAGGTGCGGACCAAACCATCACTTTTACACCCCTTGTATATCATATACCTAGTGAGGTGTGGACCAAACCATCACTTTACACCCCTTGTATATACTATACCTAGTGAGTACAGACCAAACCATCACTTTTACACCCCTTGTACATCCTATACCTAGTGAGGAACAGCCCAAACCATCACTTTTACACCCCTTGTACATCCTATACCTAGTGAGGAACAGACCAAACCATCACGTTTACACCCCTTGTATATCCTATACCTAGTGAGGTGAGGACCAAACCATCACTTTTACACCCCTTGTATATTCTATACCTAGTGAGGTGTGGACCAAACCATCACTCTTACACCCCTTGTATATACTATACCTAGTGAGGAACAGACCAAACCATCACGTTTACACCCCTTGTATATCCTATACCTGAGGAACAGACCAAACCATCACTTTTACACCCCTTGTACATCCTATACCTAGTGAGGAACAGCCCAAACCATCACTTTTACACCCCTTGTACATCCTATACCTAGTGAGGAACAGACCAAATCATCTCTTTTACACCCCTTGTATATATACTATACCTAGTGAGAAACAGACCAAACCATCACTTTTACACAACTTGTATATCCTATACCTAGTGAGGTGTGGACCAACCCATCACTTTTACACCCCTTGTATATACTATACCTAGTGAGTACAGACCAAACCATCACTTTTACACCCCTTGTATATCATATACCTAGTGAGGTGTGGACCAAACCATCACTTTACACCCCTTGTATATACTATACCTAGTGAGGAACAGACCAAACCACGACTTTTACACCCCTTGTATATACTATACCTAGTGAGGAACAGACCAAACCACGACTTTTACACCCCTTGTATATACTATACCTAGTGAGGTGTGGACCAAACCATCACTTTTACACCCCTTGTATATATATACTGTACCTAGTGAGGAGCGGACCAAACCATCACTTTTTTTTAACATTTTGCATACCCATAGACAGTTTTATGCATACAAATGTAGAACTTATAACAACACACCATTTAAATCTGTTTTATTTTCATCCATTGCTACATTTAAAAAAAATTATTGACAACAAACAGAAGTTATTCCACATGAACATTTATAATAGGATTCATCTTTGTATACATTGTCAAATCATGTACATATCATAACAATAGGAGATTCTAACATACAAATTACATCTGCAGATTGTATTGTCTGCATTGTTGTTTCAACCTTCCAGTGTTACCCATGATTTAATGTCTCAAAAATCTTTGGAAAGGAATATATAAAAAAAACATCCAAGTCAGTAGAGTGTTATATATTTTTTTTAATCTACTTTGTTTTGGAAAATTACCTTGTAAACTTAATCTTGAATATCAGTTATGGTGTCAAGTCATTATAACATGTGAACTTATGTTTAGTGTATATTTACACTCTCATTCAGACTTTGAATTGTTTCACCTACTGATTGATGGCAATATAACGTATGAACTGAATACATTAGAGTTAACAGATTTTCATATGGCATCAGTCAACCATATTTCAAAAATGCTTAATGTATACTTCGAATGATTATTCAATACTTTCGTGTATATCATTTAATGAGAAACACAGAATTTATGTCTAAAAGAAAGCATACCTATACTTCTTTCATTCTTAACAGTAATAATTATGTATTCTTTTGTAAACTGCACATACTCAAATTGATAAACCTATTCTTATTGTGTTAACTAATTATACTACATTATTCTGTTTGTAAAATCTTCTTAAAGGAGGAAATAAAGAGAATAATAATTGTATTACTGATGTGAAAATGTTTTCCAAAGAATGAATGTTTATCCCCGAGTCATCCTTAAAAAACTGTTTGTTTGCACTTTCCCAACCGACTCACTAGAATGGCACCTACTCAGAACATTTTGGGGGATCTTTTGGTAAATATTCTGTTTGTAAAATCTTCTTAAAGGAGGAAATAAAGAGAATAATAATTGTATTACTGATGTGAAAATGTTTTCCAAAGAATGAATGTTTATCCCAGAGTCATCCTTAAAAAACTGTTTCTACTCAGAACATTTTGGGGGATCTTTTGGTAAATATGTTTTCTTCTGAAATCACTTAAACTTAGGGGTTTTATAAAGAAATATTGAGATTTCTAAAAAATAACAAAAAATCCCTACCTACCTACCAGCTGAAAAACATATGAGTAGGGAAACGGAAAACAAACATGTTTTTAAGGACGGCCCAGGTCAACTGAGTCCAGATTAACAAGGTTTGAATGATACATTGATTTTTCTGTGGCAAGCCTTTCTGTTTTTTTTTATTAAACACAGCCCTAGAAAGGTGTACAAAACCTTACCTGGTATTCTGGTATCCATTTACCAAGGGCATCAACCCATACAAGTCGGTCATCTGGTCTGTTGTCCCCCTCCCCGTCCTCGTGCCCCTCCTCCTCCCCCAGCCCCCAAGCGCGGCCATGATGCAGGATGGGGAGGGAATACTGTTGCTGGGGTACCAAGGGCTGTGTTGGTGGTATGGAGGCAGTTTTGGGGCGATTGTCAGCATGTCCGTAGGCTGCAGGGTAGACTCTTGGGGAGACTTGTGTGGGGTTGTAGGAGGACCTTGTAGAATAGTGGCCAGTGCTGGTCCTATAGTTACCCTGGAAGTATAAACATCCTCTCTAGAAGTACCACTCTTGAATCAATAACAAGTTTTTTATCACATATTTCAAGTGTTATGCAATCAGTATCGTCATGTCAAAGTTCTGCTATATGTAACAAGTATAATAACTAATACGACTTTTTAACTGTGATGACAGAGGATTTAAATTATATAGACCGGTTACACGACAATACTGTTTAACTTATCTGTGAATCATGAGCCAAATGTTCTTTTTTCAATTTTACTCATTTGATTCATTGACTCACTAATGTTATTTAATGATTCGCTGCTTTTCAAAATAGGATATGAAATGACTCGCTACCAGCATTGTCATTAAAAGCCAGTTGCCAGCCTTAGTAACTTGCTATTCATTACCATCAACCGGCTATTATTTCTGAATATGTCTAAATCAACATTATGTAATAGGAGAAAGAGAAAGGCACAGCCAGGCCAGGATTTGAATCCAGGACCCTCCAAACTCTAGACAAACACTCTACCAATTATATTAAAGCTACCTAGTGGCCAACAATGGACCAAGTCCAGTTCTGCTACATTGCTCCTTTGTTTCTTGTCAATCCATAACACGTGGGTTGGCCTGCTCCCCAATTTTGTAAAAGTAGAAAGAGAACTGCATGGCCAGAACAGGATTTGAACCCGGTAACCTCCAAACTCTAGACAGAAACTCTATCAATTGAGCTTCCTGGTCATCTTCTCAACAAAATCAAAATCAAATGACTGTCGTGTGGCCTGGCTATTCTACAAGCAACTCAAAAAAAGTATGACAGCCTTCCAACAAGTTTTTCAGGGAATTTCCTTTTTTATTCTTAGTTAATGTAGCTATTACCTCTACAAATTAGAGAACTGTGGAGTGAATCCCAACATCCAACAATGAATCAAAGTCTTAGCCTTTGATTACCAAGACAGCCAGTCAACACCAGTGGAAGTTTAGCCAGGAGTAAACCAAGGGACAGTACTGCGACCATACTTTTCCTTGATATATCAATGATTTGCTTGTGTAACATCTACTGTACATCTTTTTGCTGAAAATTACCATTTGTTATACCGCCCAATCATATGTCTGCAAGAGCATCAGCATGGGCTAATAAATGGGGGGTGTCATTCAACGTGGCAGAACATGATGTTACATCTCCAAACTTCACGATCCAGGTCACCTTAGAACACCTTGATACCACATACTGGAAGGACTGGAAGTGAATCCATACTTACGGGTTGTCATTCGCAACTCCATGAAATGGGATGCTCATATCTGTACCATCACAAATAAAGCTAATTCCAGGCTCGGGTTGTTATGATGAAATCTCCGACAGTGTCCGCTTTGTCACTAATGTTAACAGCTCACAAGCTTAAGTCGCTAATAAGATCTGTCTTGGAAAACAGCTCAACAATATGGGATCTGTCCCAGCATAACAACATGCATCTATTCTTTGGAAAAGATATGTCATGCTGCCCAGTTCATAACATCTGATTTCCAGAGAGAAAGCAGCGTGACATCAATGCCGGATACCCTCAAACTACCATCACTCAGGGATCGCAAACTGGACCATCAACTTGTCCTCTTTTATAAAATTATGTAGGGGCTAATGGCTATACCTTAGTGATGGCCAATCAGATTAAAATCATAATCGGTTTGTAATAGGAAGTAGTAAATCAATTGATGATCGATTGAAAAATCACTAAATGTAATTTCTTGGGACTGAATACCCAAATAATATGAGAACACTACTATAACATCAATAGACAGAGTTGTTCATTAGGTTTTGTTCTTTTATAATGAATGGATATCAAGCAACTTTTATGAATTTTTATCAATCATATAGTATAAATCTTAAGAATATATGACTTTCAAAGCATACTTTACATGTAAGACATTTTAAATACTTTGATTTCAATGATGAACTGATTATATCAATCATGGAATTTGTAATCAATAATCCGAACCGGAAAGGGAAAACTGATAGATTTTCGAATTATATAATCGATCATCAGCCCGTCACTTCTATACCTGTAGATCAAGTCTTGACCACAACAACCAATCAGACCCAAGCAAATAACTGTAAAAAAAAATGGGCAGTTTTAGTGTAAACTGACTTTTTATGAGCTCTTTTTTTCCATATACCTCTGCTGATTGCAACAACCTCCCAGAAGCTTTGGTCAACACATGTAACTTCAAAACTTTTAACACTCTATTACTATCCTCAATAATTTAAAATCGAAGTGCACTCCTCCAACCCTGAAATTATGCTATCATACACTTAATCGAGATCTTCCAGTATTATACAGAATTTTGCATTTTATTGTAGAAAAGTGTAGCAGTTTCAAAAATCAAAATGATGTTGCAAACTTCTTTTTTTTCCTCGATACATTTTTTTATATGGCCCATAAAAAAAATGTATCAAGGAAAAAAACCAGTTTGCAAAATAATTTTGATGTTTGAAACTGCTAACATTTTCTACAATAAAATGCAAAAGTCTGTATCTGTATAATACTGGAAGAATTAAAAATTAAGGGCTCAGAAATTGGTCACCTGATCAGTGATTTATTTGTATGCCTAGCTAGTTTTTAAATTACAACTGAATTCAGGCTGCTTCCCATAGCAAAAGGGTGTTTTATATTCCCAAAAGGGTGTTTTATATTCCCAAAAGGAAGCAAAGATGAAGAATTTCTTCCCAATTCCAACCAAAATAATGCATTATTTTCCCAAACTAATGCTGGAACATGCTGTTATAAAATTTAGGTAGAAAAAAAACATTACTCCGAGGTTGACAAGTATCCTTTTTCAAGCAAAATGTGATTACAGTTTAACTACAGCAGAGTAGTATTGCCTTGTATTTTCTCTATTTAACCACAGTAAATTTAATTTTTAAAAATCGTAAAATCTACCAGGCTAGTCTACTGTACTCACTCTTTGTGTTTTCGATGATTTCGACGATTTCGATGAACAAGAACTCTTACATTCATAGAGTGTACGAAGATACTCCAGATAAGAGCCTGTACAAGATGAAGACGGTAAACTGAAAGCATTGCTCCAATCCGGTGATTGACATCCAGAGATTGCAGAGTTGCTCTCTGTTTGATCCGCGTCTCTCTCACTAAAATTAACGCTTGTTTTCGGCGCTGAATGCCAATATTGGTACCGATATGGCGTAAGCCTATGATCAGAATCATACGTTATTTCACATAACGTAGTAGCAACAGGCGTTGTTGCCATCTTAACAGCCATACATCAAGTATGACTCAATATGTCCTAAATATTGACATTTGCATCATGGCCGCCATTCAAGTACTCCCAAGTATGTGACGTCACTTCCCGCGATAATGATAAAGAATTCAGAAGCTGTCAGTGACGAGTGACAATAGCACCACGGAGTTAGTTTGACCCGTACATTCCCGTGAACACCTTAGAACTTAGCCAAACCCAGAAAATATTAACCATACTTTGGTTCAACTTATCAAAATAATTTAAATACTTAGTATAATCTGCACATGTGATTAGATCATTATACTTGAGTTGCCGTCTACGGTACACACTGAATGCAAATACACTAAAAAGAAGTCACGAAAAACATCTTAATCAGTGGAATTATATTTTGAATGCCTCAAGGTTTTGACTCCAAATAGAATTACGAGGATTTTAGCTAAATATATATTGTAGAATTTCTACTACTGTGTTGATCATTAGGCCGACTTTATTTAAAGCTTGCTTTGATCCTTTACATAACGAAGTTACAAACAACTTTATTTTCATAAAAACTGTAAGAGTCTGTTGATAATGACTTTAGTACCACAATAGGATAACGTCCATAATCGGATCAGTCTATTTCTGACCCGGAGATCAAGGCCGACAGTAGACAACGGTATACTTACTGGCAGTGATACTGTATTGAACTTGATATTTATATATAATCAGCTAGCATTCTCCAACTGTCTTAATCGAACAAAATCAACTAAGTATGTGTATTCACCTTTCTGAATTCACTTGGTAATCGAGGTGAAATAAGTCGTTCTGAAGTGCAATTTATATAAAGGTGTGTTCCCTCATTTACTTCAGCTGGTGTCTAATTGATGTCTAATGCCGGTTACCTGTGTTCGTCTGTCAATATCAGATTGAATAAGTCTTCACTTAGATCGTCCAAATTGTATTTTAGCAGCGAATATTCTATCATTGAAATGAATATTGATCACGCTAAAGGCCGAGGAGTGAACGTTAATTACAAATGGTTGTGATTCGATAGTCATGATATAGACTAAATGGTAGTCGTTATAGCCCTATTTATACAGGACATCCACCATGGCAAGCTGGTAAGACAAATAATTAAATAAAACAAGGACACCATGTCAAATGATGTTAGGGTTACAATCAGTAGATTTTGACTTGGCTGTCATGATTCCTGCACCAAACAAACCATACAACCATGGACTTAGATATGTTATCTAACTTCGTGATACGACTTTTCTCCGACGAGCTTACGCATAATGTCCTAACACAAATCTGTATCATTCAATTTTTTTTAGTATCGGGCGCGTAATCCAGACTAAAGGGAGATAAGCGCGATAAAATGTTGCACAAAATAGGTAGATACCGTTTTCAGCTCTGACCAGTTAATAAGTTTCTATGTATATTATAATTCCATGCGGCCGTGATGACTAAACTACAGCAAATAGAAATTAATACATCTTTATAAGAGTTAGGTTTATACTTCGTTTCGGAAAATTCCGGACTGGCTGATAGACGGACAGACAAGTGGAAAGTCGAACAAATAAGGGAAGATTGGCTGATCTAATTCCGTGGTCAAACAGATCGAATGAGGCGTAGAATAGTTTTCTGAGTTAGCGGTATTATTCCAGGTTATATTTTATAACGTACAGTATTATGTTGTATGATGGCCGAGTGGAGCGAGTGTTAACAAATTCTCTAAAAAATGGTAAAAATGTAGGTTTTTGGTTAAAACAATCTGATTTATTTTGCCATAAATATGAATTATGATTTAATTGTTTGTCTTTAATTGTGAAATAGTATGCATACGTATGTACAAGGGCAACTCCTAATAAAAAGGATGTACAGGCCAGGCTTTGATGCTAACATTGGTTATTACCATAGACCTAACTTCAGGTCTCTGTTATTACTCACCTGATAAAGTGATGCTAAGGAGGGTGCTTTATTGTCTTTGAAATTTATATTTTTTAATTGGTATAATAAATAACTCCAGGTGAACATGTGTACATGAAACCACAGGTGAAAATACAGGTTTATTTATCATGAAATGGACTCTACCTTAGAAATAACACTTTACCTATATACCTTATTCCAACAGATGGTAGGTTATAGTCCTCTCTCAACTGAAAGGGTGATCACCACAGGGGCCATTAGAACAATAAGATTAGGTAGAGTCAGTCCGGTGAGCCTTGACCACTGACCTGACTGGACCCCCTACTAATATATAGACAATAGAGGATCAATCCCCTATTGTTTAGAGTATAAGTACTGGACTACTTGTTTGGGCAAACACCCTTATAGGCATATATATATAGATATTCAAACTGCTGGCAATGGGAAGCCATAGAAAATCATAGTTCAAGGGATGGTTGATATTAGAAGGAAATCCCATATGAAACCCCCCCCCGCACAATCCCGATCCCAATGGTAATATGTGGGAACCCCCTGTACCTGTACCAATACCTCAAAACGACATGTTTAACTGATAATATGTGGGAACCCCCTGTACCGATACCTGAACCTGTGCCTGTATCAATACGAGATATTTACCTGGTTATATGTGTGAATTCCCTGTATCTGTACCTGTACCAATACCCCAATACAAGATATTTACCTGGTAATATGTGTGAATCCCATGTACCTGTAACTGTACCAATACCCAATACAAGATATTTACCTAGTAATATGTAAGAATCCCCTGTACCTGTACTTGTACCTGTATCAATACAAGATATTGACCTGGTAATATGTAAGAATCCCCTGTACCTGTACCTGTATCAATACAAGATATTTACCTGGTAATATGTAGGAACCCCCTGTATCTGTACCAGTACCAATACCTCAATACAAGATAGTTACCTGGTAATTTAGGGAATCCTTGTACCTGTACCAATACCCCAACACATGATATTTACCTGGTAATATGTAGGAATCCCCTGTACCCGTACCTGTACCTGTATCAATACGAGATATTTACCTGGTTATATGTAGGAATCCCCTGTACCTGTATCAATACCCCAAAACAAGATATTGACCTTGTAATTTAGGGAATTCCTGTACCTGTACTATACCCCTGTACCTGTACCTGTATCAATACAAGATATTTACCTGGTAATATGTAGGAACCCCCTGTATCTGTACCAGTACCAATACCTCAATACAAGATAGTTACCTGGTAATTTAGGGAATCCTTGTACCTGTACCAATACCCCAACACATGATATTTACCTGGTAATATGTAGGAATCCCCTGTACCCGTACCTGTACCTGTATCAATACGAGATATTTACCTGGTAATATGTAGGAACCCCCTGTATCCGTACCAGTACCAATACCTCAATACAAGATAGTTACCTGGTAATTTAGGGAATCCTTATATGTAGGAATCCCCTGTACCTGTATCAATACCCCAAAACAAGATATTGACCTTGTAATTTAGGGAATTCCTGTACCTGTACTATACCCCAATACGATATGTTTACCTGGTAATATGTGTGAATCCCCTATACCTGTATCTGTACCAATACCCAATACGAAATATTTACCTGGTAATTTAGGGAATCCCTGTACCTGTCCTCTACCCCAATACGAAATATTTACCTGGTAATATATGTGAATCCCCTGTAATTGTACCAGTACCAATACCCCAATACAAGATAGTTACCTGGTAATATGTAGGAATCCCCTGTACCTGTACCAATACCCCAATACAAGATAGTTACCATGTACCTGGTATTTATATAAGCCACTGTACCTGTGCTAATTCCCCTATATAAGATAGTTACCTGGTAATTGTAGAACAGCCTCTGTCTGGCCCTGATGGTATATAGATGGTTGTTCCAGGCATCCACTGCCATGTTAGTAAGTTATATATAACTGTATACCAGACATCGTAATACATCCCATCGGCTTATTTCATCTTTAATAAATTACATTTCCATAAAAAATATGTTCGGAGTAATTCATTTCAAATTTCTAGTCTGCAAATTGAATTGTGACTTTCGTCGTTTATGGTGTGTGTACCATACAACACACAACACGGTAATTGAGCAGGTCTCTTAATATATTCCTCAAAATTGGCACTGCCATTTAAATAGGAAAATATTTAACTGCAAACATGTATGATTTCGTAAGAAGACATTACAACAGTCACACATATATAAGTAATCCACGCGTATTGTCGTCACGTTAAATTAATTTCTTATCTCAGACCTGACTGTCAACGTCTCTGTCAATATTGTACAGGTCTAAATACTATCGCATGTTTTACTGTCTTCTCAATCAAAATCTTTGATCCAAACTCTTTCATGACGGGATTTCATTTTCGTGTCATTTACGTATTTGTTTACTTTCCTGATTTGTGACAATTTTCAACAGGCATTTTAAATGTAGAACCAACACTGTGTTGTTCAGTAATGGGATTACTGTATGTTCTAGCAGGTACTCGCAGGAGATTTCCACAGGGATGTGTGTATATTCCACTCAGCCATAAGTACACATCTCAAGCATCAACAATTACTGAACAATAGTGAACGACAAAGGATTCTTTGATTATTGTTGAGATTTGGCAGTAACCGACAGTTAATTGTACTTCATAACCATACATTCCCACAATAATATACAACATTTGATAACATTTGATATAGCGCCCTATCTAGCTAACATAATTAAAGCCACTATAAAGCGCTTTACAGTACATAGATATACAATTCATACAATAAGCATATACATTAATCAATACAATTTTTGAGGAATCAGCAAGAGCTGCCTTATCAGGCGCTAACTACTAGTCCTATGTCACCTTGCTAGTATCTCCCTATGTGTGTATGCCTGCGTGTGTGCTGGAGATATAATGTGTTATGTTTGTAGTGGGACCGTGCTTCCAACAGCATCATTTATAGTGCCACCTCACTTGAATGCTACAGCACAGATACCGCAACATCCACCCCAGACCAATTAATACTCCACCTGGGTTGTTGGAGTTGTGTGAGCAGGAGAAAAACACCTTCTCTGAATATCCATGTGTACGACAACTTCTGGGATCGAACCCGGTGGCCTGCGTGGAAGGCTGGAGTGTTAACCACTCAACCCAATCGCCCACAATGACGAAAGAACACAAAGGATGAGAAAGAGGAGCAGTGAAAGACAGAGTTATNAGGGACAGTAGACAAATACAGGGTTATAGACAGAGGGACAGTAGACACATACATGGTTATAGACAGAGGGACAGTAGACAAATACAGGGTTATAGACAAAGGGACAGTAGACAAATACAAGGTTATAGACAGAGGGACAGTAGACACATACAGGGTTATAGACAGAGGGACAGTGGACAAAGGGAGGATGCCAGTTATTGACAGCGGACAAAGGGGAAGTGGACAAAGGGAGAGGGAGGATGTCAGTGAATATTGGACAAGTAGTGAAGAAAGTGGGGATGTCAGTTAGTGACAGTTGACAAAGGGAGGATGTCAATGAGGGGTAGTGGACAAAAGGAGGATGTCACTGAGGGGCAGTGGACAAATGGATGATGTCAGTGAGGGGTAGTGGAAAAAGAGAGGATGTCAGTGAGTGACAGGGGACAAAGGGAGGAGGATGTCAGTGAATATTGGACAAGTAGTGAAGAAAGTGGGGATGTCAGTTAGTGACAGTTGACACAGGGAGGATGTCAGTTAGTGACAGTTGACAAAGGGGGGATGTCAGTGAGTGATAGTGGACAAAGGGACGATGTCAGTGAGTGACAGGGGACAAAGGGAGGAGGATGTCAGTGAAGGATGTTGGTGAGGGGAAGTGGACAAAGGGAGAGGGAGGATGTCAGTGAAAGGGAGTGGACACAGGGAGGATGTCAGTGAATATTGGACAAGTAGTGAAGAAAGTGGGGATGTCAGTTAGTGACAGTTGACAAAGGGAGGATGTCAATGAGGGGTAGTGGACAAATGGAGGATGTCAGTGAATATTGGACAAGTAGTGAAGAAAGTGGGGATGTCAGTTAGTGACAGTTGACAAAGGGAGGATGGCAGTGAGGGGCGGTGGACAAAGGGAGGAGGATGTCAGTGAAAGGGAGTGGACACAGGGAGGATGTCAGTTCGTGACAGTGGACAAAGGAAGGATGTCAGTGAGGGGTAGTGGACAAAGGGAGAGGGAGGATGTCAGTTTGTGACATAGGACAAACGGAAAAGGGAGGATGTCAGTGAGGGAAGTGTACAAAGGGAGGATGTGACAGTGGACAAAGGAAGGATGTCAGTGAGGGGTAGTGGACAAATGGATGATGTCAGTGAGGGGTAGTGGACAAATGGAGGATGTCAGTGAATATTGGACAAGTAGTGAAGAAAGTGGGGATGTCAGTTAGTGACCGTTGACAACGGGAGGATGTCAGTGAATATTGGACAAGTAGTGAAGAAAGTGGGGATGTCAGTTAGTGACAGTTGACAAAGGGAGGATGTTAGTGAATGACAGCAGACAAAGGGAGGATGTCAGTTAGTGACAGTTGACACAGGGAGGATGTCAGTTTGTGACATAGGACAAACGGAAAAGGGAGGATGTCAATGAGGGGCATGGGAAAAAGGGAGGATGTCAGTTTGTGACATAGGACAAACGGAAAAGGGAGGATGTCAGAGAGGGGCAGTGGACAAATGGAGGATGTCAGTGAGGGGCAGAGGACAAAGGGAGGATAGTGACAGTGGACAAAGACAGTAGACACATACATTGTTATAGACAGAGGGATAGTGGAAAAATACAGGGATATAGACAGAGGGACAGTGGACAAAGGAAGGATGTCAGTGAGGTTAGTGGAAAAAGAGAGGATGTCAGTGAGAGGGAGTGGACAAAGGGAGAGGGAGGATGTCAGTTTGTGACATAGGACAAACGGAAAAGGGAGGATGTCAATGAGAGGGAGTGGACAAAGGAGGGCGTCAGTCAGGGACATTGGAAAAAGGGAGGATGTCAATGAGGGGTAGTGGACAAATGGATGATGTCAGTGAGGGGTAGTGGAAAAAGTGAGGATGTCAGTGAGTGACAGCAGACAAAGGGAGGATGTCAGAGGATGTCAGTGAGGGGTAGTGGACAAATGGATGATGTAAGTGAGGGGAGTGGACAAAGGGAGAGGGAGGATGTCAGTTCGTGACAGTGGACAAAGGAAGGATGTCAGTGAGGGAAGTGTACAAAGGGAGGATGTCAGAGGATGTCAGTGAGGGAAGTGTACAAAGGGAGGATGTCAGTTTGTGACATAGGACAAACGGAAAAGGGAGGATGTCAATGAGGGGCAGTGGAAAAAGGGAGGATGTCAGAGAGGGGCAGTGGACAAATGGAGGATGTCAGTGAAAGGGAGTGGACACAGGGAGGATGTCAGTTCGTGACAGTGGACAAAGGAAGGATGTCAGTGAGGGAAGTGTACAAAGGGAGGATGTCAATGAGGGGTAGTGGACAAATGGAGGATGTCAGTGAAAGGGAGTGGACACAGGGAGGATGTCAGTTTGTGACATAGGACAAACGGAAAAGGGAGGATGTCAGTTAGTGACAGCGGACAAAGGGAGGATTTCAGTGAGGGGGAATGGACAAAGGGAGGAGGATGTCAGTGAGAGACAGCGGACAAAGGGGAAGTGGACAAAGGGAGAGGGAGGATGTCAGTTAGTGACAGTTGACACAGGGAGGATGTCAGTTAGTGACAGTTGACAAAGGGGGGATGTCAGTGAGTGATAGTGGACAAAGGGACGATGTCAGTGAGTGACAGGGGACAAAGGGAGGATGTCAATGAGGGGCAGTGGACAAATGGATGATGTCAGTGAGGGGTAGTGGACAAATGGAGGATGTCAGTGAATATTGGACAAGTAGTGAAGAAAGTGGGGATGTCAGTTAGTGACAGTTGACACAGGGAGGATGTCAGTTAGTGACCGTTGACAACGGGAGGATGTCAGTGAATATTGGACAAGTAGTGAAGAAAGTGGGGATGTCAGTTAGTGACAGTTGACACAGGGAGGATGTCAGTTAGTGACAGTTGACAAAGGGGGGATGTCAGTGAGTGACAGGGGACAAAGGGAGGATGTCACATGGTTATAGACAGAAGGCCAGTAGACACATACATTGTTATAGACAGAGGGACAGTAGACACATACATGGTTATAGACAGAAGGGCAGTAGACACATGCATGGTTAAAGGAAGGATGTTGGTGAGGGGAAGTGGACAAAGGAGGGTGTCAGTCAGGGACATTGGACAAAGGGAGGATGTCAGTTAGTGGTAGTGAACAAAGGGAGGATGTGAGAGAGGGGCAATGGACAAAGGGAGGATGTCAGTGAGTGACAGTGGACAAAGGGAGGATGTCAGTGAGTGACAGCGGACAAAGGGGAAGTGGACAAAGGAGGGTGTCAGTCAGGGACATTGGACAAAGGGAGGATGTCAGTTAGTGGTAGTGAACAAAGGGAGGATGTGAGAGAGTGGCAATGGACAAAGGGAGGATGTCAGTGAGGGGTAGGGGACAAAGGGAGGATGTAAGTGAGGGGAGTGGACAAAGGGAGGATGTCAGTTAGTGACAGCAGACAAAGGGAGGATGTCAGTGAAGGATGTTGGTGAGGGGAAGTGGACAAAGGAGGGTGTCAGTCAGGGACATTGGACAAAGGGAGGATGTCAGTTAGTGGTAGTGAACAAAGGGAGGATGTGAGAGAGTGGCAATGGACAAAGGGAGGATGTCAGTGAGGGGTAGTGGAAAAAGGGAGGATGTCAGTGAGGGGAAGTGGACAAAGGGAGGATGTCAGTGAGGGAAGTGGAAAAAGGGAGGATGTCAGTGAGGGGTAGTGGAAAAAGGGAGGATGTCAGTGAGAGGGAGTGGGCAAAGGGAGGATGTCAGTGAGTGACAGCGGACAAGGGAGGATGTCAGTTAGTGACAGTGGACAAAGGGAGGATGTCAATGAGGGTCAGTGGCCAAAGGGAGGATGTCAGTGAGGGGTAGTGGAAAAAGGGAGGATGTCAGTGAGAGGGAGTGGGCAAAGGGAGGATGTCAGTGAGTGACAGCAGACAAAGTGAGGATGTCAGTGAGTGACAGCGGACAAAGGGAGGATGTCAGTGAAAGGGAGTGGACAAAGGGAGGATGTCAGTTAGTGACATAGGACAAAGGGAGGATGTCAGTGAATGACAGCAGACAAAGGGAGGATGTCAGTTAGTGACAGTTGACAAAGGGAGGATGTCAGTGAGTGACAGCGGACAAAGGGAGGATGTCAGTGAGAGG